CAGATTCAGGGGGCCCGCCTTCACTTAGGGGGTGCACGCGCCTGTTGAAGGGCCATATGCCGAGTGTCAAACCGTTGCACTCCCTCCTCCTTTACTTCGATAGTCCTCTAAGAAGTCGTTATGTAGCAGGCTGCTTCCCTTTCAAATTTCTTTCATAACTTGAGATAATTTGACCAAATTCTATGCTGCCAGGTGATGCAGTTGGCTGCTGTTCAGGTACCAGGAAGTCTAATGCAGATCTGGGCTTTCAACCAAGATGCAGTTGGTCGAGAGTCGTGCCGGTAGTGTTGTGCACGACGTTATTGCACAGGCTGGCGACGAGGGGTAATTTCTTGTCCCAATCATCCTGACGTGGCTTAATGTAATGCTGAAGCAAGTGCTGCACTACCCGGTTCATTTGTTCAGCCTGACCATTTGACTTAGGGTGGTTACCTGATGTCATTTGCAGCCGGGTACCCATCTGGTGGGCTGTACTTTGCCACAGTTCGCTAGTGAATCTGACATCCCTGTCGCTTACAATAGACTTAGGGGGACCAAAGTCACGTACCCAATTGTCCATAAATAGCTTGCTGACGTGGTCAGTCCTAGCTGTCTCAGGCATAACGATTAGCCTAGCATACTTCGTGAATCTGTCGACAATGACAAAGATGTGCCGTTTACCGCTCTTGCTGGTCACAAGGGTATCCATGAATCCATGGATACACTTTGACCTGGGCTAGCAGGGATGGGTAAGGGCTTGATCAGCCCGAGCGGTGCCTGCGTCCAGGGTTTGTCACGTTGACAAACCTGGCAAGTTTCTACATACTTCTTTGTATCATCCATTGCGGGCCACCAAAAATATTTTTGCAATAAGTTTGCTGTTATCTTTTTATGGCCAAAATGACCAGTTGCATTATGACACTCTCCTAAAAATAGACTACGCAAAGACTCTTTATTTGGAACACACAATCGTTTATTCCCAACCTTCTCAAGGAACAACAAGTTGTCAACCAGCACAAACTCATCGGAAGTAGCCTTATCTTTAGCTTCCAGTTTGCGAATGGTCTCAGACATGACCGGGTCCTCTGGATAGACTTCCACCATGGATTGAGTTACATCGTCAGATATTCCAAACTCGGTCACTAGTTCGCCCAGATAGTCTGCCCTTCGCGGTAGTGCGTCAGCCACTTTGTTGTACTCTCCCTTTAGAGGGTCGAGCTTGAAGTCATACATGTCTATGACTTCAATCCACCTCTTGAGTGCATCGGAGCGCATGGGCTGTGTCTTGATCCAGCGCAATGTCTCATGGTCATATCTTACATAAAAGAATTTGCCTAGGAGGTAGTGCCTCCAATGGACCAGCGCTCTATGGAGGGCATAGAGCTCACACTCATACTTGGACTTAGCTAATTTATGAGATGACATCTTTTTGCTCATGTACTCGACCGACCTTAACTTTTTCCCCTCCTTCTGTGCAAGGACCGCGCCTATGCCATATGGGCTGGCGTATGTGGTTACAACAAAGGGTTGTTCAGGATCCGAAAGCTTGAAGACTTCATAGTGCGTCATGACATATTTCCATCTCTTGAAGGCTGCCTCACACTCTTCGGTCCACTCCCAAGGGGTGTCAAGGTGCGTGAGGTCAGTTAGTGGGGAGGCTATTCTACTATAATTTTTCATAAATGGATGATAATTGTCTGTTATCCCCAAGAATGACCTCACCTGAATCACAAATTGAGGTTTGGGCCAGTCACGTATGATGGCCATTTTAGCATCGTTCCCCCTCAAACCATCCCCGAAAATCTCATGACTCAGATACAAGATCTTGGTGCAACCAAATTTGCATTTCTCCAAGTTAACCTTGTCCCGGTGCTGTCTTAGGAGACCTAACACTGTTTTCACGTGCTCAGTGTACTCCTCTACAGTCTTACTAAAGAGAAGAATATCGTCGAGGTACACGGCGATAAAATTGTGTAAGTACTCATGAAAGATCCGGTTCATTGCGTGCTGGAATGTCCCAAGAGCATTGCATAGGTATGTCCCAAGAGCATTGCATAGGCCAAAGGTCATCACCACAAACTCGTACAGACCGTACCTGGTTTGAAAGACGGTTTTGTGGTGGTCCTTAGGTCTTATCGCAATCTGAAGGTATTCAGACTTTAGATCTATCTTAGTAAAGTACTGGCATCCCTGCACTCTATCCAGGAGGTCATCAATGCGTGGTAGAGGCTCTGGGTTCTTTACAATGATGGCATTGAGGCCCCTGTAGTCAATGCACATCCTTAGGGTCCCCCCTTTCTTTGGGACAAATAGAACTGCAGCTCCGTATGGGGATGTACTCGGCTGAATTATTCCCTTCTCTCTGAGCTTCTTGAGTTGGCGGTGGAGCTCATCTAACTTCGCAGGAGACATCCTATATTTTCGTCCTCTAGGTACTTTGCTACCGGGGACAACTTCTATCGCATGGACAATCTCCCGTTCCACCACACCCCTAGGCTCCTTGAAACAGTCTGAATACTGTGCAACTACTGCTTCTATCTTTGGGGTTGATTTTACGACCTCCCCTTTCTCAGAGACAAAGACTCAAGTACATACCTTCCTCGCGATTTTACTTGTAGTAGTTATAAAAAGACGACGCGCACATGCAACCATAGTTCTCCATAGTTTGCAGCCTAACGGTCCTTCCATCTGGCAACTTGTGGATCATCACCTTCTTAGCCCAATTGAACTAAGGCTTAGCAACCTCGAGGTAGTACATGCCTAGCAACGTATCAAATGACAACTCGTCGCTAACAAGGAACGATATTTTATGTCTCAGCTCCCCACCTCCATAGGAGAAGGTGCAGACTACATCCTTGTCCTTGACATAGTCTTTTAAGCCGCTGCAATTGGTCCCCTAATCGCAACCTATCCACACAAACACGACTAATGAAGTTTTGTGTATAAGTTATATCTGCGAAGGCACCAACCTTTCGGCCACCTACATTTGACTTGTGCCATGAAGTGTTCACGCCCTGGACCTTTGTTCAACATCACCCATAAGTCTCTAGGGTCTTTCTCTAACCACTCAGTCTCTAACTCCTCTAAGGACTTAGACTTATTCATCGAACAAAGAATCGATTGGTCTAGATCTGTCTGCGGGGCGATCAATGGGTCAATAGCCTTGGCCTTCGTCTGAAATGGAGAAGGTAAGGTTACCACTTCAGCACGAGTAAGAGTGGCTAACACTCCTACTGGCCTGAGTTGTTTCCCTGTGAAGTGCTCGCAGAAGCACCACCAAAGTTTGAAGATTCGATCGTTACTATTGAGGACACAAACTTCGTGATGACCCATTTACTCTTGCACTTAGCCATGATGTGACCATACTGGCCACAATTCAGGCAAGCGCCTTGTGCAACACGGTCTCGCCACATCTCGTACTCTAGACCAAGCTTTCAACATATGGGTGTTCCTTGGTCGTACTGACCCTCGGGCCGACCTGCCTTCTGTTTTCTAGCCCCCTTAGCTTTTTCCTTGACAGGAGCGACTACTCTACCATATGAAGTGTCTACACTCCCATCTACCTCCGTTTCTTCCCCAAGGTCAGAGACGTTGTCAATCTCAGTCGCTTGACCGTCGTGCTCATCGAACATGAGGGACCAATCCTACTGCTACGGGCCTGGGCCGTTTTCAGTTAGGCACGTCCAAGCAGTCACCCAACCAGCATTCTCATTGACTCACGTGCCTGTGTGACGGCAATGCTGTTTTCTCATTGGCCCGTGGTCGGTCCGTGATGTGTCGGCCTACTACTTGAGCCCTGGGCTCAACTGTACAGCGCAGCCTTGCTTCTGGAAGGAGCCTGAAGACTCACGTTGCTCTGTAACCAACGGGCGTGCTGCAACTGTCTGACTCCCAACATATGGAAAAATGTCGTAAAGAGGCCTCTTGTGGATATTCAGGCCCTCCTTCAATTAGGGTGGGCACGAGGTTGCTGAGGCCACAGCCCAAAACACTTGCATGTCTGATAAGGGCCCCGCAAGGGCTCATTCCTCACACACTCCTCACCAAGAGACAACTGGCGGCCACATCCTCGATGAAATCAGTAATGAAGGACTGTAGATAAGATCAGGGACGATGTACCTTATTATGCTGTCCCCAACCACAGATTTCTGACCAGCTGTGACGACGTGCATTCCGGTGACCTGTCGCAGCATTGGAACCAATGGCAATACACCGTAAGTGCCTCCATTGCAAATGCCATGTCATCGCACTCGCATCACCAATCATGCACCCAAGATTTTCCAAGCATCCAGCCCCTTCCCTTTCTACCCAGGGGCCGACCATCTTCCACACAGCATGATCGTACTGACACTGCACAGGACCAACCCGAGTGCACTGAAGAAACAGATAGCGCTGGAACCGAATGGAGTAAGCCTATGAACCAGCTCCGATGCCAAGTTGCAAGGAAATGATCACCACGACTGACAATAAACCAGACTGTAAGGAGTAAGCCTACCGGTTGGTTGGCGATACTCTTTGCAGTATTGTGGAGGGGTTCAATCCTCACACAAACAATAAACAGAAAAAGGAAAAAGAACGAAGTAAACAAACAGGTGTACGGCCACATAGCTACATAGGACGAAAACAAAAAGCCAGGGAAAAGATGGGAAAGGAAACAGCCTGCGTGCACTCTCAGAACAATGATGCATACTTTTATTGTTTTCTGCTTACCTCCACTTTTACGATGGGTGACAGCGAAAACATTCCTCTGAACAATCGGAAATTTCAAAAAGGTTCTGCCAAGGGATTTGGATTTGCAGTGGTACCTCTGTGTGAACTTAGCAGATCGCTTATAAACTCAGGCGCACGGTCTGTACGTGGATGCCACTGGTGTATGGGGAACTGGGGATAGGAGTACTGAGGCAATTTCAGGGCTTCGGTTGGGATGGGGAGGGGGAACAGAGGAAGAGGGGGGATAATTTCTCAAATTGACTCTTTTTATGCCAAGATTGTAATAATTACCTTATGCTCTGATTTTGCAGGGGAATAAGTGCAGAAACAGAAGACAAGATGGTGCTATACATGGACATGGATGGCCTTCTTCTGGTGGCAACAGGGTTGGGTCACATGGAACAAGAGGAAGGGCTAGAGCCGCATTATGTCAAGGGTGAAGAATGCTTGGGTAAGTAGACCAGACCTATTTTCTCTCCCATTGCTCCTACCGGATTTTCTTTTTTTGCTATGGTTGCTGAGCAGTCACATGCATGTATATGAGTGGGGCAGATTGCACTGATATTTTGTCTGTGCTAAGTTAGCCTGTCTGTATGTTGGCTGTACTAATCCAGCTGGCGTGGTGTTTTTGAGAAAGTGACCCAGCTGGTCATGAAGGTGACCAGATTTATGCCAGCGAAGCACAGAAATAGAGACTGAGGGACTGCTGGGCGTGGAAGAAAGGGAGAAAGAACCCGGAACTCCTCTGGATTTCTGTTTAAGTCTATCTCAGCCCCTGGAAGTATTGAGTACGCCCTTGAGTACGAAAAAAAGGTGCGGAGTACAGAAGAACAGCTACAAGGCCCAGAGGGGTATGATAGAATCAGGAAATCTGCGTAGGTGGTTGCCAACATTCCAGATGGGTGACAAGGCGTGGGTTACGTCATCTGAGTTCGCGCCAGAGAAGGACATGCCACGGAAATCAATGCCTCAATGTTTTGGTCCCTGCACTGTCTTAGACATCATAGGGAGTGATCCTGAGGGTCCCTTACATGTGATTAATGTCCCTCCTCGTCTTCACACTCACCCTGCATTTCTTGCGTCCAAAATTCTGCCTTTTTCTACAAGTGATCAGTTCCATACTTGCGGCGCACCGGCACTGTGCGCTGCGCAGCGCGCTGTGCGCGGACCCGAGGTGCGCGCACACCGGCGCGCGTCGCGCATCTGGGTGCGCAGTGTGCTGCGCACGTCTGGTGTGCTGCACGCGTGTGCGCAATGTATATTTCCATGTTCTAGCGGTAGATTGGCCTCCAGAAGAAGACAAGGAGGGAAGCTGCTGTAGACGGGTCAATTCAGGCAGTAGGCAACTCACCGCAGCGCTGGTCATTGCTAGTGGATGGAGAAGCGCCTGAGGAAGAAGAAGGCAGCTGCGGTGGCCACTGGCTGGCACCATCCATAGCTGGGCAAGCGATAACAGCGCAGCACAGTGGTGGAGTGTGGAAGTCAGGAAGTGAAGGCAGAGAGTGGGGATTGGCAGTTCCTACCTGGTGTTGGCTTAGGAAGCCTGTGTGAGCTGAGTCTTCAAGCAGCATCCAGTGACACGTGGACAGAGTGAGAGTGTGCTAGAGTGAGTAGAAGTAGTAGGAAGTAGAGTGTCCTCTCAATTCTCTGCTGCAGGATTTCCTTTGGCATGTTATGGATCTCCCATGGTTTCTTCAGCGGTGCTGATGAAGATGGTTGACCTTGACTGTTCCCTTGACCCTGTGGAGATGCCGGTCCAGTGGCTCCCTTTCCCATGTCTTTTGCTGCAGCAAGGACTTCTCCGTCCTGAGCGTCGTTCCTGTCCTCCTCCCCTGGTGGATCTACACGTTCCTCGTAAGGCCACTCTTATGGTCTGTTGTCACAGGTAGCAAGCGCCCTTTTCTCTTTCTTGTGCAGATCAGTTTCTTCTTCCCTTCTACAGTCCCCTTTGCAGCTCCTGCCCTAGTTATCATCAAAGTGGCTTCCAAACTGACGGTGTCTAAGACAGGAAAGCAAGGGTATGGAAGTTAGGATGAGGTTCGGCTGCTAACAGACTGCTCTTGTTCTTTAGTAAGGCCCTGCAATACCATTTCAAGAGTTGTCCTGGGGTATAGTCTGCTCAACCTAGATTAGTTCGTCAACCTTCTTTGTAAGAGCCGCGACAGTATTAAATTGGTTGGTCTCTATATTCTTTGCATCATCCGATGCTTTCCGTACAGCAGTCAGATCCTTGAACCGGTTTTTGACTAAGCACTGTAAGCAGTCCAATTCTCCTCAAGGCCTGTGCCAAGCCAACTCTGTGCTGCACCACCCAAGCATGAGGCTCTTACGACTACTTGGCGATCCTTAGGGGTATCATTCATCTCTATGAAGGTTCTAACGGGTGCTATCCAACTATACAAGTTCTACTTTTTCTCTAAAATGAAATGAAGAGCTGCCTCATCTTCATTTGGATGTTTTGCCAAGGATAGACGAGGCTGAAGTGGTGGGAACAGGTACAGAAGAGACTGGTACAATTGAAGTCAAGTGAAGACAACGGACTAATACTGGACACTGGAGGGCTACTCAATGGAAGACCTAACGGTGCTGGTGCACTGACGCCAAGTGACATACTTAGAGGCCTGGTTGTCACAACTGAAACGGTTTTCACCTTAGTAGTAGCAGCTGCAGATCCCAGGGCTCGATCCCTAGACCTTACCACACCCGTGTATAGTATCAAGTCGACCCCTGTGTGTTTGAACCCGTGACCTGTGTTTTGGTAGTTGACTGTTGCCTGTCGTAGGTCTGTGTAGCTGTAGGGGTTCGATCTGTAGGTCTGTCGACTAGGGGCCATAGTTGTGTAGAGGTTGTAGCTGTAGCAATTCTGAAACGTCAAGGTCGTAGCTGCTACAGTCCTGAAAGGTCAAGGCCGTAGCTGCTACAGTCCCGAAAGGCCAAGTCCACAGACTTCCGGAAGGTCCGGAAGTGGCCTTCCGAGTTTTCCTCACGTTATTCACAGCAGACCAGAGGCAAGTGGGCAAGTGGTGAGTCCAACCTCGCTTAGTCGGCAGTACCCAGTCCCAGTCTCACTTTGTACAGTCAGCAAGTACCATGAGGGACTGTGTGCACCAKGGGCCCGGTGGAAAAGGGCAGACCAGCGACTTACAGAAGTATAAATCAAGAGGCAGCGTCCAGCCATTCATTCATTCCTGCGTGAACCATGCGGAAGCGCTGCCCAGGCGACTTGTGCGAGGTGGTCTGCAGATGCCCGAAGTCGAAGTGGGCTGAGGGAAGGAGATAGCGTCCGGTGTTAGTAGTAGCAAGCGGCCATAGCCGCCTTAGGTTAGAGACAGTGTTTCAGGGTGTAAGTGAGTGTGAGTGAGGTACAGTTTGAGTGCGTGTGGGATATCCAGGGAGGTCCAGAGTCGAGTGTGTGTAAACAGTGGATGTAAACCCTGAGTGGACAAGTGAAGTGAAGGCATGCAATCGCCATATCCATCTTGAAGCGAGTTTGTATCTGAGTTGTGTGGGCGCCCAGCGCCAGTGTGCTTCACCATCTGGTTGCATGCATGTTGTATGAAGAAGAAAGCGAGTCTCTGATTGCACAACAGTAGATGACGGAACTGTCATTGGCCAAGGAATTGCTTGATACGGCACATTCGCGTCCCTTGCCAGACGGTTGATTGCATCGACTGCCGACCTCGATAAGTTGCAGATTTGTCATCTATAGTCTGTCCTGTAGTTCCTAGTGCAATAGTGTGCACAGTTGCCATCTCATGCAGACTGCTTACACTTTTGCAAAGAGACCTCTTGACGTCAGTAACTTTACATCCTTGTCTACCTGATTGTTGATCTCTTGGTGACCAGCCTCTTGAACTCTTCATTAGTCACTTAGGATCTCTGACCCTCTCCTCCTCCTCGTCTACTGAATGTATAAACCCCTTTACCCTCTTTTGTCCTTGAACTCTTTGAGCTTTTGATCCTGTTCTTTCCTCTGTCGGTGTAACACCTGTCCTCACACACCATTTAGGGGTCCAGGTTTTGGGATAGAATGTAGGAAGGCTGTAGACCAGCTTTGGTACCAGTTCGTATTTGGTCACCTCATGCTCATGTACAAGCACTTACCTGTGTGCTCTTTTTCTGCTCTCTTTTCTTCCTTTTGTTGCCCAAGTCCTGGATGTTGCTCCTTTTTCTATGCACCCCCATTTTTTCCCTGTTGTTTCACTGTTTTTGCCGCTATTTTGACCACACGTATACGTATAGATCTTGACCATTTATTGTCAGGGACCGCCCATGGTTCAGGAAGAAGGTACAACAAATGGGGGGCTGTGACAAACTGTTTCGTCAGACTTGAAAACAATTGCGAAATGAATTAACCGACTGCTTTGGCTTCTTGGATATTTGTACGTGGCACTTAACAGAGAACCTGAAGGATTTGCAGCGGTACTTGCGGAGGGACAACCCAGTGACAAGGGATGTGTTTTACCAACTGGGGCAATGGAATATCGTACAGCAGGACCTGGTGCCTATTATTACTACCTACAGGCATGACGGGGATCTTGTCCTGAATGCAAGTACGCACCTACATTCAGCCTGTTCTGGTCTCATCTGTATTGGTTTATTATTTTGTTGCGCAGAGTGTGGTGAATGGCTGACCCGAAAAGGAATGCAGATGACCCAATTGATGTACTGATGGCCTAAATAAGTGATGGCAGAACACTTTAGTCCTCTCAGCGTATGATGGAATGAAATGAGGAAACCATGAAGTTATCATCCGTGGAGACAATGATTGTTCCACATGAAATATGAACATTCAATCAGCTTGTTATGAAGCCGCAATGCATACGCAGGAGAGGAGAGGACCGAAGTGGGAAGACCTGCCCTGGTTGTGTGCAACAAACGAGAGGGGGAAATAGGTGGAATGTGATAAGAAGAAAATTGAAAAAGCTCTCATTTGAGTAGTCTCCTAAACAAAGTTATCTCCATTGAGCACACTAGCATCTTGCAATCAGCTTGGGTGCCCAACGCCAAGAGTGATGTTTGAAGTAGTCATGAAGCCATCTCTTCCACATACTTATCGCCATTGTGGGAGGCCGAGAGGAGAGGAGAGGAGAGGAGAGGAGAGGAGAGAAGAGGAGAGGAGAGGAGAGGAGAGGAGAGGAGAGGAGAGGTGGTGGAAAGTTGAAGTGGGACGAAGTTCTCTCTTGATTTCTGTCGTATGGCCTCAAGTATCTGACAGGCAAAGTGTTCCTGTGTCCCTTGTGGTGCTGATGAGCAAACCCAGTGGTGATGGTTGCTCATCCCTTCCACGTGCTTATTTCTGGCCAGTGCAGCAGAAGGTGGAGAGGAGAGGAGAGAAGGTCGAAAACTGAAGTAGGAAGGAGTTCTCTCTTGGCTGCTCCCATAACAGGATTATTTGAAGGACAGACGGGCCAAGTAATCCTGTGGCTGTGGCCGTGCTGATGAAGAATCCAAGGGGTGATGGAATGATAAAAGCCACTGCAAACTTTTTTGTCATGTTGGTACTCTGGTTGTGTGACCTACTTTGGTGGTTGGCAGTTGATGCTGCCAGCTTGCTTTTTTGTCACTTCTGGTTGTTGCTGCTACGTTCTCTCTTTTAAGTTTCAACTGTCCCAGGTCCTCCATGCTTTTCATGCATGTTGCACTGGCATGCCTCGTCATCGTCACAATGCATCAAAATGCTGCCAGATCATCGTTTGCAGTGCTACGACTGTCAACCGATGATTTCCTTTATCTGTGGATTGCTTCTGCCGATGTGAACTGCTGCCATGCATTTATGAATGGACTTTGATCCAGATGTACTATGGTGATTGTGCACTGTTTTGTCTCTTCCGCTTTTTGAATTGATAAGATTTGGACCGTTTCTCAATTTCTGTGTGTCATCCTTGTTGGGCCATGCTAATCTTCCCTGTCTTTTTCAGACTTGAATTTCCCAGCGAACAACACTGTTTTGTATGTTTGAGAACCATGCCAGCAATCTGGCCATCTGCAGGTGTTGAGGGCTAAACGGTGGCTGCAATCGGTCGATCTGTTCAGTGAAATTTGTCACTGATTTGTTGGTCAAGTCAAAAGATGGTTGTCGAACCCATGAGCCGCTGGTCTGGCGCACCAACCAAGTGCTATTAGGGAGATGAGGAGAGGAAAGAAAACAATCCTGAGTGAAATTCTGGCTACCGGACCAGTAAGTGTGGTCCGTTTTAACCACACAAATGCCTAGTTAATGTGAAGCTGCGTAATGAATGGTCCGAGTGCTATTCAAGTTGTACGCTCTTTTTCTTCGTCTTCTTGACTTGAAGATGACATTGTATAAGCGGTAATGTATGTCGCGCTGTTGTTACTCACTCCTTTGTGTTGTTGATTTTCGATGCAGTTAAGGTCCTTGTTTTCTTGACTCTTCCGGTTTCCCCGGTGTCGGAAAACGCCAACAAACAATACGAGAGTCTTCAACGTTTCAAGTCAGCACTCCTCGATGGGGATGTGCTTGCAATAACTGTTGCACTCCTTGAGAAGCCGTTGGAGAACATTGAAAGGTAACTTTTTCTTTGCTAAAATAAACACCCCTCATCTGGTGGAGAGGAGTGTTGGGCGGAGGGGAGGTTTATTCCAGGGGCATAAAATTCCCATTCTGGGAATTGCAAGACGACAATAAGAGTTCCAAGGCAATAAAATGGAATGACATGCGGTGTCAGAAGTGGCTTGGCTTAAAACAAGAAAGTGCTTTGTTCTGGACCGTAGATTACGTGGATCAGTGGCTAGAAACTGAAATCAGACTTGACTCATCTCGCTTCCCACGTGCATGCAAACAGATGACGACATGAACTGGTGCAGTGTGCCCACACAAAGCTCAGAGATAAGAATGTGGCCAGGAACACAGTTCAGATTCAACTTGTCTTGAATGGTTATGGCGCCCAGCGCCAGACAAAGATTCCCACCCGATCAACTGTATCCACCAGCAACTTGTTCACATGCACACACACACTCTCTACACTAGCTACGATCACCCTGAATGTCCCACACACATACACACACACGAGACACACAGAGCCTATCTCTATAGTACGTGGCAGCTATGGCTGCCGTCTCCCTCCTAACTAAGCTAGCGGCTATGGCCGCTTCTTCAACCTCCCAACCCTCTTCTTCTTCGGGCACTTGCAGACCTCCGATGCACAAGTCGCTTGGACAGCGCTTCTGCACGGCTCACAGGCAGAATGAATGCATGACATGACGCTGCCTATTCATTTATACTTGTTTCGTTGGTGGTCTGGACTCTTGGCCTGGGCCCGGAATGTACACAGTCCCACTTGGTACTTGCTGACTAGACTAGGTGAGACTGGGACTGGGTACCGCTGACTAGACCAGGTAGGACTGGGACTGCCCTTTGGTGACTGGACTAGGACTGCCCCTCGCTGACTCAGCTACAGACTGACTCCTACTACCTGCGAAGAGCCAGCTTAGACTAGTCTAGAAGGTCCTCGGTTGACGTAGGACTGACCCTTCGGAACTGTAGCAACTACGACCTAGACTGACCCTTACGACTGCTAAAACTAAAGTGTACGGGTCAAACCCACGCGACCACGCTATGTACAGCAGTCAGACATGCGACTTTTAAGGACAGGTCGTGGGTTCAAACATGCAAGGGTCAACAGGTACTGTACAATGGGTAAGGGTAGGTCTAGGGATCGAGCCCTGGGATCTGCATCTGTCACATCACATAGGTGAAACCGTTTCAGAAACACAGACTCCAGGTAAATGGGATCCTAGCACAGAGTCCAGTTTCTGGGAGGCTGGGATCGAGTGTAGGGCTATTTTTTTATAGTTTGGTGGGTGTTCACTGCCTGCAGGTTGATTCGCGTCCGTCACTGTAAGTTTCACTGAACCTATGACGCCCCTGGTTGCAAATGTATGAAAGGTAGCATCTCACTGTTTCTGTGTTTCTAAACAGTGGTGTGATAGGTTACTAAACCAGATATGAGAAGTTATTATTATCCTCCCAACGCTCTGAAGCCCATCGTCCATGGGTACCGAATCTTTCTGACCGTTTGCACCGATGGGTTCCTTTTGTATGCAGTTTTCCTACGTTCGATCCAATTGGCCTACAGTGCCGATGGATTTTTCACTTTGGAAGTGAAGGTCGGCCTCGGCCTGCATTCTGTTCTTTTCCATCTCTGCTCCCTGTGAGCGTTTGGGTAGCGGGTTTTGGAGAAACTGCTTTCGCATCATGGTCGAATGTGCGTGGGCCTTGCTTTTTCCGAAGGCACTCCTGCTCGCTGGTCCGTGCAACTGCTGGCAAACACGCTCCCGCCTGCTGGTACGCGCGACTGCGTCCAAATGGGCTCTTGCTCACTGGTACGTGCGACTGCGGGCAAATGACAAGGCGGCCAGGCAGAGAGGTCCTCTCCCGCTGGAGATGGAGAAGAAGATACCCTCGCCATGGCGCCGCGCGCAAGAGAGAGAGAGAGAGAGAGAGAGAGAGAGAGAGAGAGAGAGAGAGAGAGAGAGAGAGAGAGAGAGAGAGAGAGAGAGAGAGAGAGANGAGAGAGAGAGAGAGAGAGAGAGAGAGAGAGAGAGAGAGAGAGAGAGAGGGAGAGAGAGAGAAGGGAAGGAGGAGGAGGAGGATGACGAGGACGAGAGTAAGATGGAAAAACCAGTGTGTCATGTGGCAAGCGACGGAAGGAGAGAGGAGGAGGAAGAGGGCGAGGGAGGAAGATGACAAGGTTGAGAAAAAGGTGAACAAACTAAATGGTGTGCCAGCGGAGGAGAGAGGGAGAGGAAGGAGGAGGGATGAGGACGAGTGAAGACGAGGAGGAGGAGGACGGGAAAAAGATGAAAACAAAAAATGTGCCCGGTGTGGCACCTGGCATGGGATGGGAGGAGATACGAGGAACGATGAAGGAGGAGGGCGAGGGTTGATGAGGAGGAAGAAGGAGATGGAGGAGGGAGGAGGATGACCAGGATGAGAACAAGTGCGGAGGAAGGTGGAGGAAGAAGGAAGGAGAAGGGATAACAATGAGGGGAGAGGAGGAGGAGGACGAGGAAAACATGAAAAGAAAAGAATGCATGGCGGTGTGGTACCTGGCACGGCACGGGAGGAGATACGAGGAGGAAGGAGGAGGGAGGAGGACCAGGGGAGATGTGGAGGAAGGAGGAGAAGGAGGAGAGAGGAGGATGACCAGGATGAGAACAAGTGCGGAGGAAGGTGGAGGAAGAAGGAAGGAGAAGGGATAACAATGAGGGGAGAGGAGGAGGAGGACGAGGAAAACATGAAAAGAAAAGAATGCATGGCGGTGTGGTACCTGGCACGGCACGGGAGGAGATACGAGGAGGAAGGAGGAGGGAGGAGGACCAGGGGAGATGTGGAGGAAGGAGGAGAAGGAGGAGAGAGGAGGATGACCAGGATGAGAACAAGATGGAGGAGATAAATCTTGTGTCGGTGTGCCCCGTGGCACACGACGGGAGGAGAGGAGGAAGGAGGCAGGAGGTGGGAGGAGGGAGGGGGGAGGAAGACGAGGGGAGAAGGGGAGGAAGGAGGAAGGATGGAGGAGGAGAAGGAGGCGGGCGATCATGAGGACAAGTTTGATATAAAATGAAGAAATTGCGTACCAGTGTGGCACATTGCACAAGACGGAGGAGAGAGGAGGAAGCAGGAGGGAGGGGGAGGAGGAAGTTGGAGGGAGGAGGAGGAAGCTGGAGGAAAGAGGGAGGAGGAGGAAGGAGGACGGGGGGAAATGAGGAGGGAGGAGGAGTAGCGGGGGTAAGGATGGCGAGAAGGAAAGAGGACGGGAGATGAGGAGGAAGGAGGAGGAGGGGAGGGATGCGGAGGATCACAAGGACAAGTTTGAGATTAAAGAAAAGAAATTGCATACCAGTGTCGCACATTGCACGTGACGGGAGGAGAGAGGAGGGAGTAGCAGGAGGTTGGAGGGAGGGGGAAGCTGGAGGAAAGAGAAAGGAGGAAAGAGGTGGACGAGGAAGTTGGAGGAAGGAGGAAGCTGGAGGAAAGAGAAAGGGGGAGGGAGGACGAGGGGAGATGAGGAGGAAGTAGTAAGGGTGAGGATAACGAGGATGAGAAGAAGGTGGATTGGAAATTGCCTGCCGGTGTGCCATGTAGCATGTAACGGGAAGGAGGAGAAGGAAGGAGGGAGGAGGAAGTAGGACGAAGAAGGAGGGAGGAGGGGGAAGTTGGAGGAAGGAGGTGGAAGAGGACGAAGGGAGATGGGGAGGTGGATGTTGGGGGAAGGAGGAAGAAGAGGATGAAGGGAGATTAGGAGGAAAGCGGAGGAGGAGGGAGGAAAATGACGAGTGCGAGAACAAGATGCAAAAGAAAATCGTATGCCGGTGTGCCATGGGGGGACGTGGCGGGAGGAGGGAGGCGGCGGACGAGGGGAGATGAGGAGAAAGGCAAAGGAGGAGAGAATGGCAAGGACACAAACAAGATGAAAAAAAAAGAATCGTGTGCTGGTGTGGCCACGTTGCATGCAACTGGAGGAGAGGAGGCAAGAGGCAGGAGGAAGAGAGAGGAGGAGAGGATGAAGGAGGAAGGAAGGAGGGAGGTGGACGGCGGGAGAGAAATAGGAAGGAGAAGTTAGAGGAAGTTCGAGAGAAAAAAAAACAAAAGTCGTGCCACTCTCAAACATTGCATGTGACGGGAGGAGAGAGGAGAAGAAAGGAGGCAGGAGGATGAAGCTGGAGGGAGGAAGAGGAAGGAGGAGGAGGGAGTTGGAGGAAGGAGGTGGAAGGAGGAGGGAGGAGGACCATGGGGGATGAGGAGGGATGAGGAGGAGGAGGCATGAGGATGACGAGGAGAACAAGATGGGGAAAAAAATATATGTGCGGGCGTGCCACGTAGCATGCAACAGGAGGAAGGAGGAGGAAGTTGCAGGAAGGAGGAGGAAGGAGGAAGGAGGATGAGGGGAGACGAGGAGGAAGGAGGAGGGGAGGTAGGATGAAGAGGGGAGGAAGGAGGAAGAGGGGAGGAGGAAGGAGATGTGAGAGGGGAGACGAGGAGGGAGGGGGAGAGGGGAGACGAGCAGGGAGGAGGAGAGGTAATGAGAAGTTACCACTGAGTTATATATGAAGTGTAGAAGTTACCACTGAATTGCCTATCATATTTCTGCGGCCTTTTGCCCGCACTGGGAATATGCTAGTGCAATTTGGAAACTGGTGCCACACCTTCTGTTATTTGCAACACCTACCTTTCAAAATGCCTCATTATGACCAGAGGTAATGAGAAGTTACCACTGAATTACAGATGCTGTAATGACCTGCCAAAACACAGACTTAGAACACTGCTGATTTCTGGGATTTGCCGCTGGAATGTATGCCTTGCTGAGATTCCCGCATTCTGCTGTGATTTCTAAGTCTGTGTGTGTGTGCGTGCCTGCTGGTCTGTGTCCCTGTCGGAGTGCTTGTCAGCCTGAGTGTATCTGTGACCCGCAGGGTACTTGTTGGTTGGAAGGCCCCGCAGGGCCCGTACTTACCTGTGGCCGTGACTTTGAGGGTTGCAGCGGGGAAAACACTCAAGTAGCGGGGGTAGGCCCGCGACACTTAGAGCAGCGGGAAAAACACTCAAGTAGCAGGTAGGCCGGTACCACTCAAGTAGTGGTAGAAGTGTCAGGTACTGGAGGTCGCACAGAAGAAGACAAAAGTTGGCATTTTTAGAGGCCCAGTAGCGGTAGGTTAGAGGGAGGCCGGTACCAGTCCAAGTAGCCTGAGCCTAGGGCATGTCCGGACGATATCAGAGCCTGCAATGATGTTTCCCTCCGAAAGGGAGGAGGTACCAGTTGCTGGGAGGCCGCTCGGCCTAGGAAGTCACCGCCCAAGAGGCCAGTAGGCCGCTATATCTTCAGGAGGAGCAAGCAGCTCCTTCTCATTTGCAGTGTGCAAGGATTGGCGACATACTGCTGGAGCCAAGTGCTGGACTTCGAGCGCTGCCTGGAGGAGGAGAGCAGCTGGGCGCTCAGCCTGGCTATGGCGAGCAGCCCAGCCTGAGGAGGAGGAAGAAGGGGGCGAAGGAGGAGAGTGGCAAGGTACCTACCTGGCTATCGTGAACACCATCTTCATTACCTTGTTAGGCGCTGCATCTGGAAGGCCCCGGTTGGAGTAGTGCCGCACCAAGGAAGCTCGAGGCAGAGTCAGGTATGGCGGCATGAGGAGCAGTGACTTAGCTGCTTTATGTTGTCCTTTGGACAGGAGGGCAGAGTCCTTAGTAGTCCGCCATAGCCTAGGCATGTGAGAGGAGGAAGAAGGGGGGGGAGCCATGGCTATGGTGGACCTGTTGTTGTGTAAGCAGTAAGAGGGAACTTCGGATATTGATTCTGGTTCATCCACTCACTGGTATTCTTATTATTGGAAGATGAATAAGATTGGCGAAGTGAAGGAGGAGGAGGAAGGTGGAGAGAGAAGGGGGATTTGTCATTGGTCTTGCTGGTGTTCTTCTTCTTCTTCTTCCTCTTTCTCTCTTCTTTGGTCTCTATCTCTTTGCAAGTGCTTTCATTTCTTTCGCAATTGGGTGGCATTGTCTTTCTTTGTGAATTTGCACTTTGGAAGTCACCAGGATCGTAACAATGCTATTGCGAGGGCTGTGTCATGGACTGGTTTCTTCAGCCAATTTTTTATCTGTAGGTGCGTACGTTTTTTTTAATCTGTAATGACTTGATTTGATGTATGGCATAACAAAACAAAGAGCTGGGAAAACAGATGATTAAAACGAGTTCTTGCAAGCACAGCTTCCTGTCAGAGTGGGTGCTGAAGTGTTCATGTTCACTCAACAAAGAAGAAAAGACCTCCGCGGATCGTGTCCGGAGGAAGGCTGTTGCTTTTCTGCAAAATCTGACTGACCCTTGTTGGTATCTAGAGCCTTGCTCGAGAGCAGAATTTCCCAGTTTCGAAGTCGCCCCACAACACAGAGGGAAAGTCGATCAGGCGGTTTGACTTGAATGTCGAAGTCTGTCCAAGTCAGAAGGGAGGGAGGACTGCTTCTGGGGTGCCGTTTCACTATCAACCTCATAGGATCGAAGGGACAAATGCACATGTCACCAAATGCCTTGACAAGTTGACACGAGAGCTTGCCATGCAATCAAAAGCTCCCGACAACTATTGCTGTGACCTGTATTGTGGAGGCCTAACCTAGTTTTTTTTTGTTTTCAAAGGGGCCCTGAGGTCCGCACTCCATCCTATTTTGGGGGGACATCAATCTTGCCCATTTTCTGCCAGCAAGTCGAAATGAATGGTACCCCTCATGCTTCCCCTTGTTATGGCCCCAGTATGGCCTTGGGAGTTTCCAACAGCATTTATTGCTTCCCGAAGAGAGGGTCGACTGCTCACAACATGACACCATCCCCCTTCCAGCTACCGTACTGCTCTTTCCCAAGAAACGAGCTGGGAAATCATGCCAGTGCGTCTCGTCCTGCCAGAACACGCTGTCACAGACAAATGATGAAACCAAGTTGCTGAAGGACTGGGTCTCCTACTTCCCTCCTCCCCTTCCTTTATCCTACTAGAAGCTTTAGGACTGGACCTTTATTGTTCTCCGAACTCGGAGCTACGATATGCAAGAGAGACCAACCTAGGAAAACTCTCCTCCAAGACCTGGGGACACCAAATCCGTAGGGACCAACACAGTGCTCCTACCTCCCCTACAGCCGCTCATAGGATGGGTACATCCGTCCTCCGCTAGATAGATCTGTCCGTTGTTGCTGAGTTGTGGAGCCCTTTATGAGGATTCCTACTATGTGGAAGCTGGGGTTGCCAGGGCACACCGATTTCTGGTCCTTGGACTGTTATCCGGACTACTCAGGCTTCCTAGTAGTGCTCTGGGGCCCTCTGTCACCTGGAACTTCAGCGTATTACCCCTTTATATTTGCTTGTCTGCCTTCTGCAAGGAAGTTCTTTTGGAAAGCTCCGAATACTTGCTCTGCTTTGCTTGGTGACTCGGAGGCCTGAAACTTCATTCAGGGGCTTAGGACTTCCTGGTTCCTCAAAACGCAGACCAGAAATTGGCAGGGATAGACCAATGATTCCACTGGCTGCATCAATCAAGGAGTGGACAGTTGAGGAGGAATTTATTGACTGGAGTTATTCAACTGTAGTTCTGCCAAAGAAATCAATTCACATTCTTTCAGTGTCTATTCTGCTTGATATTTGTTTCACAAGTCCCCGTCTCTCTTTTAAATCTTTAATAGATGTCGCTTGTGAAATGAAACTGGACTGAGGGTCACTGAGCCTGTTTTGGGTCTCCCCTATGTGATCCAGTTAAGGGGCCTTTGGATTCCATGAGGTGGTGAGTTTTTCATGGTGCCACATGAGACCAAACAACCTATGCCTAAAGAAATTTGTGGCACCGAGCACTGGGCACGGAGGTGGTTTAATAATGCACAGTGTTGGGTGGGTGCTCTTCTGCACTTCTTGTCGAAAAAATGCAGGTTTTTTTTTGGTATTCTGATAATCTTCTGATATATTTCCTGCATGCTTCTCTTGTCTCTTTTTTTCTTTTTCTGTTGTTGACTCTGTGTGGTCAGTGGGAGGGCAGGGGAAGATGATTGGAAGCTTGTTCAGCTCATTATCACACTGTTTCGGAATCTGCTTGCAATACCAGACCGAGCTCCAGGGCAGTTTTCCTCGGATGCACATCTTGGGTATATGAGGGATGAGCTAATTGCCATGTACACCAAGGAGAGCATTCTGGATCTGATACTGAGCTTGGTCCAGTGTTTTGCAGAGACACACAGCCCTCTTCTAAAAGATAGCATGCTATTTCTTGAGATCTTCTACTACATCTTCAAGGGTCAAAAGGCATCAGCAATATTCTCTTCTAAGCCTTTAGAGGGATCAGGACGATCCAGAAAGGTTTGGTAGCCCACACTGGACTTCTCATCGATTCCTCATTTCCACCTTGTTCGAAGAGAAAAGAGAGAAGAAGAACAGATCTGTTCACCTGTCCTCCCACTCTCCCCTCTTCCTCTCTTCGTCTCTTCCTCTCTTCCTCTCTTCCTCCCCCGTTCTTCCTTTTCATCCTTTTCCGCTTTCATCCTTTCCCGCTTGAGTTTGCTGTATCGCTGTTTACGTGCATGAAGAGTGTGTTGAGTCGAGTCTGATTGCACTGGTATCGGAGCAGGTACCCGCTGTTCCACGCGCCGTCGTGTGCAGGGCCGATGTGTCATAGCTGAGGTGGCGACCGAAGGAGGCAGTCCGCCATAGCGGACCTCGGGTTGAAGAAGCCGCCGCGCACCTGCAACAAGAGGACCACGAAGAAGAAGAAGGTTGAGAGAGAGAGAGAGAGAGAGAGAGAGAGAGAGAGAGAGAGAGAGAGAGAGAGAGAGAGAGAGAGAGAGAGAGAGAGAGAGAGAGAG